ACACTTCTTACCAAAAGCTGTCTAAAAGTATATTTGTGTGTATATGTGCATGTGCGTGTTTAATAATAGAAAAACATCCAAATAGTCTTTTATTATTTCAAAATATTATGGAGGTACAAATATTTTTGGTTACATGGATTGCTTTTGTAATGTTTGAGTCACGGCTATAAATGTGCCCATCACCCAAATAGTGTTCATTGTACCTGTGAGGTAGGTTTTCACCCATCTCCTCCCTCCCCCCACCGCCCACTGTATGATCTCCACTGAGATTTACTTCCCTCTGTGCACACATGTGCTTATCAGTTAGTCCCAATTTTATTAATAGTGAGTATATGTGGTGTTTGTTTTTAAATTCTCAATATAGTTCATTAGGAGAATGGTCTCCAGTTCCATCCAAATTGTGGCAAAAGGCATTAATTCATTCTTTCTTATGGCTGAGTAGCACTCCATGGTATGTAAATACGACATTTGATTAATCCATTCATGAACTGATGGGCACTTGGGTTGATTCCACATCTTTGCAACTGTGAATTGTGCTGCAATAAACATTCAAGTGCAAGTGTCTTTTTTATAAAATTACTTCTTTTCCTTTGGGTAGATATCCAGTAGTGGGATTGCTGGATCAAATGGTAGGTCCACTTTTAGTTCTTTGAGGAATCTCCATAGCGGTTTCCATAGAGATTGTACTAATTTGCAATCCCACCAACAGTGTATAAGTGTTCCTTTCTCTTTGAATCCACACCAGCATCTATTGTTTTTGGACTTTTTATTAAAAACCATTCTGAGAGAGCTAAGGTGATATCTCATTGTGGTTTTAATTTGCATTTCCCTGATGATTAGTGACGTTGAGCATTTTTCATATGTTTATTGGCCATTTGTCTTCTTTTGAAAAGCTTCTCTTCATATCTTTGCCCACTCTTTAATGGGGTTGTTTGTGGGGGATTTTTTTGCTGATTTGTTTGAATTCTTTGTAGATTCTAGATATTAGCCCTTTATTGGATGTATAGCTTGTGAATATTTCTTCCATTCTGTAGGTTGTCTATTTGCTCTGTTATTTCCTTAGCTGTGCAGAAGCTTTTTAATTTAATCAAGACACATTATTTTTGTGGTTGCTGTAGTTGTCATCAGGGTCTTAGTCATAAATTCTTTGCCTAGGCCAATGTCTAGAAGAGTTATTCCTACATTTTTTTCTAGAATTCTTATGGTTTCATGCCTTACACTTAAGTCTTTTGTTTATCTTGAACTAATTTTTGTGAGTGATGAGAGAGATGGATCCTGTTGATTCCAAACAAAGTTGTAGATTTATTTTTTTCTAGACCTGTGAAATATCATGTTGGTATTTTTACGGGGAGTGCACTGAATCTGTAAATCACTTTGGGTAGTATGGACATTTTAACAATGTTGATTCTACCAGTCCGTGAGCATGATGTTTTTCCCTTTGTGTCATCTGTGATTTCTTTCCTCAGTGTTTCATAGTTCTCTTTGTAGAGGTCTTTCACCTCCTTGGTTAAGAATATTCCTTAGTATTTTATTTTCTTTGTAGCTATTGTGAATAATATTGAGTCTTTGACTGTCAGCTTGACTGTTTTTGGTGTATAGGAATGCTACTCATTTGTGCACATTGATTTTGTAACCTGTTTACTGAATTTATTTATCAATTCCAGAAATCTCCTGTTGGATCTTCGGGGTTTTCTAGATATGTGTTCATATCATCAGCAAAAAGTGATAATTTGACCTCCTCTTTCCTCATTTGGATAGGCTTTACTTCATTCTCTTGCCTGATTGCTCTGGCTAGGACTTGCAGCACTATGTTGAATAGAAGTGATTACAATGTCCCCCTTACTTGTTCCAGTTCTTAGGGGGAATGATTTCAACTTCTTCCCATTCAGTATGATATTGGCTATGGGTTTGTCATATATGGATTTTGTAATACTGAGATATGTTCCTTCTCTTCCTAGTTTGTTGAGGGTTTTATCATGAAAGGGTGCTGCGTGATTGAGATAATCATATGGTCCTTGTTTTTGCCTCTGTTTATGTCG